AAAAAAATCACTACAAACTAGAAATGCAAACTATAGAAAGCCGTAAGAATTTAAAATATATCTATAAAAAATAAATGTTCCCAGAAACATCTACAAATTCCTCATAATACCAGCGTTAAAACGAAAATTTCAGGCAAAAAAAATCTTTAAGAAAAACCAGAAATACGAAGACTATCCAGACAATCACGATGCAACAGCACAAAATTTGCACTATATGACGCGGGATGGTGCCTTTAAAGACAATCAGAAAAAGCGAATTCGTTTAAATATACTCAGCAAAAAATAACACATAAAAAGCTAAGAGAAATTAAAAAAGCCACAAGGATCACAAAAAGAATAGCAGAGTTACCTTCCTGTGGGCGTTCTGGACGGGGGTCGCAGCGTGAATACCTCTCTATGGTAATTTGATAACGTCAACTGGCAATCGTCAAGCAGTTGAGGTATATAAATGCTGACCTGAGAATTAGCATAAAAAGCAAATCAGTTGATAATGTAAAAGAATGGGAGGGTTACTCGAAATTCCATAAATCAATCTTTAATAAAAACTAACATATCCCAGCATCTGCGAAGTCGTATTCTCCAGTGTGTCACTGTCTTGATCAGTCGATGCATAAACACTTGTGGGCTTTGCCCGTACACTTACATTCAGATACTTGCTGGTATCTGCATCCAAGTCAAAATGTAGCGACTGCCCCCAGAGAACATCCTCAAACAAACAAACATACTACACAAACTAGGCAAACTTTTATGGATGGTTCCTAATATATTCAGTTTTAAAATTTCTAGCAAATACTTGCCGAAAATGAATGTCGTGCACTTCATCAGTACTTATGGATAACCGATTTGACGTAGCTCTCGAAACTAACTAGGGAATCCATGAACAGTACAGATTTGCACTTTAAAGCAAACCTCGCTCAGTCTAAGATGCTTTGTAGCAATCATCCTCACGGGAGTCTTTGAATCTCGTCGAACATTATCGTTCTCGTCATTTTCTGCACCAGCTTGTCTGCAAAAAAAAAAAAAAAAAATCAGAATCAGGTCAGTTCAATACTTTTGAAGTACATGATTTCAAACACAAAAGTAAAGGAACGACAGGAACTGTTGCAACAGACAAAGAAATTAAGATAAACAGGACCTGTTCAGGGTGGGTAACACCATAGCGTTACAATTTAAAAAGTACTTCCGCTAGAGGGTTCAAAGCGCAGAGGATGGGGCAAAGTTGCTGTACACACAACAAACAAGCGTCAAGAGGTGACTGGAATTTTGTAATCCATAATCGACGGGCCTGAAGTTAGTTGGGTCTGGCGCGCAGAAACATCGCAGTATCATCACTAGTTCCCATACCTTCTGTTCAGGACATTTTAGTATTCTTAATATTTCCGCTTATTTTGGCATCAAATGAATTCTTTTTTCGTCCAATTATGCGCTTGTGCTGATTTGGCTATGATTATTCCCAGAGTTTTCCTTCTTTAGTGACCATTTGAAGCAACTTCAGCGAAGAACTGGTGAGAGAGAGATTAGAACAGGACCTAGTGCATATGTACTTGGTGCAGATGCATCCTAATAACGTCAAGTTTTCTAAATATCATCATTTCCGGTATTGTTGATAATTTCCTTGTTTAGCTCTTTATCGTGGAGAATGCATAATACTCAGTCATTGTTACATGTTAAAAGAACTTTCACTGAAATTTAAATATCCAAAAAAGAAAAAAAATCCAGCTTTAAATTTATCAAACCCGCATGCAGTCAAAGACTGACATGTTTCGTCGCAGGTGAGAGCTAGATTTTTGTTTCGAATCTGCGATCGGCGCTGCTGACGAACACGAGCGCTGCTGCAAGCAGCATCAATCAAAACTGTGGTGAAGTTTTGTATCAAAAAATAATTGGCCAACGCACGGGCTGCCTATGCGAAGATGAATTTTTTGCATCGTTCCCCGCAGTTCTTGTTGCTACCGGCACCGGCTTTTTCGGCAAATGCTTCTAGTTAAACAAATTAAGACTGGCCACCAGAACTGTCAGAAAACATCCCCTTAAAATTTCAACT